TTGATAGCCCGTCACTGTCTAAACTGCTGTCTAAACTGTCTAAACTGCTGTCTGAACTGTCTAAACTGCTGTCTGTTGTGGTGTGTCAGGTTGAAGATTGATATTGATGGTCAGTCACTGTCTAAACTGCTGTCTAAACTGTCTAAACTGCTGTCTGTTGTGGTGTGTCAGGTTGAAGATTGATATTGATGGTCAGTCACTGTCTAAACTGTCTAAACTGCTGTCTGTTGTGGTGTGTCAGGTTGAAGATTGATATTGATGGTCAGTCACTGTCTAAACTGTCTAAACTGCTGTCTGTTGTTGTGTGTCAGGTTGAAGATTGATATTGATAGCCCGTCACTGTCTAAACTGTCTAAACTGTCTAAACTGCTGTCTGTTGTGTGTCAGGTTGAAGGTTGATATTGATAGCCCGTCACTGTCTAAACTGTCTAAACTGTCTAAACTGCTGTCTGTTGTGTGTCAGGTTGAAGATTGATATTGATGGTCAGTCACTGTCTAAACTGCTGTCTAAACTGTCTAAACTGCTGTCTGTTGTGTGTCAGGTTGAAGATTGATATTGATAGCCCGTCACTGTCTAAACTGCGGTCTAAACTGTCTAAACTGCTGTCAGTTGTGGTGTGTCAGGTTGAAGGTTGATATTGATGGTCAGTCACTGTCTAAACTGCTGTCTAAACTGTCTAAACTGCTGTCTAAACTGTTGTCTAAACTGTCTAAACTGCTGTCTGTTGTGTGTCAGGTTGAAGATTGATATTGATAGCCCGTCACTGTCTAAACTGCTGTCTAAACTGTTGTCTAAACTGCTGTCTGAACTGTCTAAACTACTGTCTGTTGTGTGTCAGGTTGAAGATTGATATTGATGGTCAGTCACTGTCTAAACTGCTGTCTAAACTGCTGTCTAAACTGCTGTCTAAACTGCTGTCTAAACTACTGTCTAAACTGCTGTCTGTTGTGTGTCAGACAGGTTGTAGGGGTAGACAGTAGTTGTTCCTGCTACTGCTGTTGTTAGTGGTAGTTTGTGGTGGTGTTGGTGGTGCTGGTAGTGGTGGTGGTTCTATGTTGGTGGTGCTCGTAGTGGTGGTGCATGTGGTGATGGTAGTGGTGGTGCATGTGGTGTTGTTGTTGGTGTGTGGTGTTTGGTGGTGCATGTGTTGGTGTTGGTGGTGCATGTGGTGGTTGTGGTGGTGCATGTGGTGTTGGTGGTGCATGTGGTGTTGGTGGTGCATGTGGTGGTGTTGGTGGTGCATGGGGTGGTTTGGGGTGCAAGTGGTGTTGGTGGTGCATGTGGTGTTGGTGTGCTTTGTGGGTGGTGTCAGGTTGGTTTTGGGTGGTGCAAATTTTGGTGGGCATTGGGTGTTGGTGGCATGTGTGTTTGGGCCCCCGGGGCATTTTGGTGTTGGGGGCCAAGGGTGCCCCCCGTGCATTGTGTTGTCCCAAGGGGTGTGGATGTGCCCCCCTGGGGTGGGGTCCCGGGGTGCCACTGTGCCTACCCCTCTGCAATGTGAGGCACCTTGCTACAACCCCTGTCCACCACCATTGTCAACCACCCCTCCTGCCACCACCCCTGCTGCCACCACCCTGCTCCCACCACCCTGCTGCCACCCCCCCTGTCGTCACCACCCTGCTGCCACCACCCCTGCTGCCCACCCTGCTGCCACCACCCTGCTCCCACCACCCCTGCTGCCACCCCCTGCTGCCACTACCCTGCTGCCACCACCCCTGCTGCCACCACCCCTGCTGCCACACCCCTGCTGCCACCCCCCCTGCTGCACCACCCCTGCTGCCCCCCACCCTGCTGCCACCACCCCTGCTGCCCACCCCTGCTCCCACCACCCCTGCTGCCCCCACCCCTGCTGCCACCCCCCTGCTGCCACCCCCCCTGCTGCACCACCCCTGCTCCCAAACCACCCTGCTGCCACCCCCCTGCTGCCACCACCCCTGCTGCCACCCCCCCCTTGACTGCCACCCCCCCTGCTGTCACCACCCTGCTGCCACACCCCCTGCTGCCCCCACCCCTGCGCCACCACCCCTGCTGCACCACCCCTGTTTGTCACCCCCTGCTGCCACCCACCCCTGCTGCCACCACCCTGCTGCCACCACCCCTGCTGCCACCCCCCCCTGCTGCCCACCCCTTGCTGCCACCACCCCTGCTGCCACCACCCCGGGCTGCCCCCAACCCGCTGTCCCCACCCTGCGTCACCACCCTGCTGCCACCACCCCTGCTGCACCACCCCTGCTGCCCTCCCCTGCTGTCACCACCCTGCTGCACCACCCCCTGCTGCCACCACCCCTGCTGCCACCACCCCTGCTGCCACCACCCCTGCTGCACCACCCTGCTGCCAACCCCTGCACCACCCATGCTGCCACCACCCCTGCTGCACCCCCCCTGCTGTCCCACCCCTGCGGGCCACCACCACCCCTGCTGCCCCCACCCCTGCTGCCACCACCCTGCTGCCACCACCTGCTGCACCACCCTGCTGTCACCACCCCTGCTGTACCACCCTGCGCCCCACCCTGCTGCCACCAACACCCTGCTGCCACCACCCCTGCTCCCACCACCCCTGCTGACCACCCCTGCTGCCACCACCCCTGCTGCCACCCCCCCTGCGTCCACACCCTGCTGCCACCCCCCCTGCTGCCACCACCCCTGCTCCCAACCACCCCTGCTCCCCACCACCCCTGCTGCCACCACCCCTGCTGCCACCACCCCTGCTCCACCACCCTGCTGCACCCCCCTGCTGCCACCACCCCTGCGCCAACCACCCTGCTGCCACCACCCCTGCTGCCCACCCCTGCTGCCACCACCCCTGCTGCCACCACCCCTGCTGCACCTCCCCTGCTGCCACCACCCTGCTGCCACCACCCCCTGCTGCCACCCCCCCTGCTGCCACCACCCCTGCGGGCCACCACCCTGCTGCCACCACCCCCTGCCCTATAAAACCCTGCTGCCACCCCTGCTGCCACCACACTGCTGCCCCCAAACCCTGCTGCACCACCCCTGCGCCACCACCCCTCTGCACACCCTCTGCCACCACCTGCTGCACCACCTCTGCGCCACCACCCCTGCTGCCACCACCCTGCTGCCACACCCCCCTGCTGCCACACCCCCCTGCTGCCACCACTCTGCTGCCACCCCCCTGCCCACACCCTGCGGGCCACCCTGCTGCCCCCAAACCCTGCTGCCACCACCTCTGCTGCCACCACCCCTGTGCCCACCCTGCTGCAACCACCCTGCTGCCACCACTCTGCGGGGCCACCACCCCTGCCTTCAACCCTGTTGCACCCTGCTGCCACCCCCTGTGCCACCACCTGCTGCCACCACCCCTGCTTCAACCCCTGTTGCCACCCCTGCTGCCACCACCCTGCTGCCACCACCCCTGCTGCCACCCCCCCTGCTGCCACACCGGCACCCCCTGCTGCCACCCCCCTGCTGTTGCCACCTTCACCACAGTAACTGCAGACTGCTGGAAGGTAAATTGGGAACTGTCGTGCATTGGGAACCACAAGGATATACACTGAGAGGTGTATGTCCCATTACGGACCCTTTTACGGGTTTAGCGCTTCTCAATGAATAATAATAACAGTAACAATAAATATATATATATATATATTATATATATATATATATATTTATTATATATATATATATATATAGGTAAATAGGTCTCAGATTCCTATTTTTTCTCATTGCGCGGTTTTGTGTACGTTGCAGTCCCCTCCCCTAATTCCCCCCTCCCCTCACCCCATCAGTGCGACCAAACCCCCCACTTCCCGCACCTCCGTCACTCCCCCCCATTCTACAAGATTATTTTCCCTTCCCCCCTTCCCCCCCTGCCCTCTTCTCTCTCTCCTTACTTTGCATTTCCCTCCTTTTTCTTCCCCCCTTCCCACCCTCCCCCCTCTCACCCCTCCACCCCTTTCCCCCCCCCCTCAGTCAATGCACCTACCCCTAACTCAACCCCTTCACACCCCCCCTATGCATTCCCCCCCCCATTCCCCCCACTTCCCCCCATCACTCCCATCACCCCCACTCCCCCATATCTTTCCTCTGGTCCATCTAGGAATATCTCATTCAGGGTTTGGTGTTTGACGCTGAGTTGAGCGTAGTGGTGCTGGGGTAGTGCTGGTAGTACTGGTAGTACTGGTTTTGCGCTGCTCCCACTGCTTTAAGTCTCTCCAGTAACACTAACCTCTCACCAGTGCTCTAATTCCTTTTTTAGGGAGTTGGAATATATGTTTAAACCCTATATACACAGAGATATATACATCTCTGGGTGTATATACCCTGTGCTAGTAGTGGTGGTTTGTGAGGTGCTGGTAGTGGTGGTTTGTGAGGGGCTGGTAGTGGTGGTTTGTGAGTGGCTGGTAGTGGTTGGTTTGGAGGGGCTGGTTAGTGGGGTAGGTTTTGTGAGTGGCTGGTAGTGGTGGTTTGTGAGTGGCTGGTAGTGGTGGTTTGTGAGGGGCTGGTAGTGGTGGTTTGCGAGTGGCTGGTAGTGGTGGTTTGTGAGGGGCTGGTAGTGGTGGTTTGTGAGGGGCTGGTAGTGGTGGTTTGTGAGGGGCTGGTAGTGGTGGTTTGTGAGGGGCTGGTAGTGGTGGTTATGTGAGGGGCTGGTAGTGGTGGTTTGTGAGGGGCTGGATGTGTTAGTGGTGGTTTTGTGAGAGGGCTGGTAGTGGTGGTTTGTGAGGGGCTGGTAGTGGTGGTTTGTGAGGGCTGGTAGTTGTGGTTTGTGAGGGCTGGTAGTGGTGGTTTGTGAGGGGCTAGGTAGTGGTGGTTTGTGAGTGGCTGGTAGTGGTGGTTTGTGAGGGGCTGGGTAGTGGTGGTTTGTGAGTGGCTGGTAGTGGTGGTTTGTGAGGGGCTGGTAGTGGTGGTTTGTGAGGGGCTGGTAGTGGTGGTTTGTGAGGGGCTGGTAGTTTTTTAAACAGGTGATACTGGTAGCAGTGGTGCTGTGTGACGGTGGTGCTGTGGGTGACGGTGGTGCTGTGGGACTGTGGTGGCTGTGCTGGACGGCGGTGCTGTTCTGACGGCGGTGCTGACGGAGATGACGGCTGACTAATGGACCAGCACAACGGCTCTCTCACTCGTCAACTTCCGGCATCAGCAGTAATGGATAATCACGATTACGATGGTACGGAAGTGAGCGAAATGTGATCATGCTGGTCCGGTAGGGACCCAAAAAGTTGTAATACGTTCGTCTCTTAATTTCCGACACGTTTCAGCCATGTTGTGTATGGGAGGAGTGGAAGCCTGGTAAATGTTTCGCACTCTGACAATATTATTGATTTTTTCTATACACACGTAAGGAAGGTGACAGGTAAGTCTTACTGTCTGGTGTACATGTAAGATGCCAGGTAAGTCTTACTGTCTGGTGTACATGTAAGATGCCAGGTAAGTCTTACTGTCTGGTTGTACATGTAAGATGCCAGGTAGTCTTACTGTCTGGTGTACATGTAAGATGCAGGTAAGTCTTACTGTCTGGTGTACATGTAAGATGCCAGGTAAGTCTTACTGTCTGGTGTACATGTAAGATGCCAGGTAAGTCTTACTATCTGGTGTACATGTAAGATGCCAGGTAAGTCTTACTGTCTGGTGTACATGTAAGATGCCAGGTAAGTCTTACTGTCTGGTGTACATGTAAGATGCAGGTAAGTCTTACAAATACTACTTCCTAGTCGTAACATTGCAACATGGTGACCTGGTCTTAACGAGTCTTGGGGCAGTATAAATCCAAGGAAGTCTGACAGATTGTGGTTTCAGTAGCAGTGGTGTTATAGTGTTAGTGGTTGCCTGGCGCGACAGTAAGGGGTAAATTTAGGGTTTTGTAGAGTTGGTGCTGGATGCGGTGGGTCTTACTTTTTGGGGTATTGGGGTCTTTTGGTGCGGGGGTTTTCTACGGGTGTCAGTTGGGGATTCCAGAAAAGGTCTTCCCCGCCCTTGGTGGGTAAGGGAAAAAGATTCAGGAAAGGAAACAAATTTATTTTTCCGTAACCCAAAAAAGGTAAACTTGCCCTTTTAAAAACCGAATTTTCCCTTTTGGGGGAGATAACCAAAGGCATTGACAAAAATTTTTTTTTCCACCTGGGGAAGGTGGGTTTTAGGTTGGTTTGTGGCCCAGGAAGAGGGGGGGAAAATTTAAAGTCCAAAAAGTTTTGTTTGCTTAAAATGGGTTGTTTATGTTTGTACGTGTCAGGTGTTTTGGCTTTAATTTAAAACCAGGTAACATTTTGGGTGAAAGATGAGAATTTATATCGGTGTCTGATGGGAAAAGTTTACTGGGGGTGCTGTGTGGGTGTTTTTTTTTTTTGGGTGTTGTGTGGTGTTTTTTCTTTTTTTTTTTTGGGGGGTTTTTTGGGGTGGTGTGTTTGGGTTTGGGGGTTGGTTGAGTTGTGGAAAAGTGGTGGTGTTTTTGTTGGGGTTGTGGGGGGGGGGGGTTTGTGGTTTAAATTGTTGTTTGTTATTTGTGTTTTTAAGTGGTGTTTTTGGTTTGGTATGTTGTTTTTGGTTTTAAATTGTAGTGTTGTGTGGTGGGGTTGTGGTTTTTGTTGTTTTGGTGGGGTTTGGGTTTGTGGTGGTTTTGGGGTCGGGGTGGGTTGTTTTGTTTTTTGTGTGGGGGGTTGTGTTGTGGGGTGGTTTTTATTTTTTTAGGTTTGGTGTTTTTGTGTGATTGTGGGTTTGTGGTGGGTTGTGTGGTTGGGGGGTGGTAGTGTTGTGGGGTGTAGGGGTTTTTGGGGGGTGGTTTTTAGTGTTGTGTGGGGGGTTTTTGTGTTGTGTGGTGGGTTGTGGTGTGTTGTGGGGGGGGTTGTGGTATTTGTTTGGGTGGGTTGGGTTTTTTTGGGGGGTTTTTGGGTTTGGGGGTGGTGTAGTGGTGTTGGGGGGGTTGTGGTAGTGTTGTGTGGTGGGTTTGGTAGTGTTTGTGGTGTTTGTTTGGGGGGTTGGGTGTGTTGTGGTGTTTGTGTTGTGTGGTTTTTGGTTGTGTTGTGTGGGGTTGGGTTTTTTGGGGGGGTTTGGGTGTTGTGTGGGGGTTGTGGTTGGGGTTTTGGGGGTGGTGTTGTGTGGTGGGTTTGTGGTAGTTTTGTGGGTGGGTTTTGGGGGGTTGGTTGGTTGTGTGGTGGGTTGTGGTTTTGTGTTTTTATTGTGATGTTGTGGGGGGGGGGTTTTGTGGTAGGTTTGTGGGGGGTTGTGGTAGGGGTGGTGGGTTTGTGGGTTTTTGGGTGGTTGTAGTGTTGTGTGGGGGGGTTGTGGTTTTTGTGGTGGGTTGGGGGAGTGTTGGGGTGTTTTGTTGGTGGGGGTTTGGGTAGTGTTTGTGGGGTTTGGTAGTGTTGTGGGGGGTTGTGGGTTTGTGGTGTTTTTGGTGGGGGGTGGGTGGGTTGGGAAGGTAGGGGTTTTGGTGGTGGGTGTGGTAGTGTTGTGTGGGGGTTTTGGGGGTTTTTTGGGGGGGGGTTGGGGTTGTGGGTGGGTTGTTGTTGTTTGTGGGGTTTTGTGGTAGTGTTGTGTGGGGGGTTTTTGGTAGTGTTGTGTGGGGGTTGTGGTGTGTTGTGTGGGGTTTTTGGTATGTTGTGTGGTGGGTTGTGGTAGTGTTGTGGGGGGGTTGGTTTTGTGTTTTTTGGGGGTTTGTGGTAGTTTTGGGGGTGGGTTTGGGGGGTTTTTGGGGGGGTTTTTAGTGTTGTGGGGGGGTTGTGGTTGTTTTTGGGGGTTTTTGGGTAGGGGGGGTTTTTGGTAGGGTTGTGTGGGGGGGTTTGTGTTGTGTTGGGGGGTTGTGGTGGTTGTTGTTTTGGTGGGTGTAGGTTCTGGGGTGGGTTGGGGTTTAGTGTTGGGGGGGGTTTGTTAGTGTTGTGTAAGGGGTTGGGGGTTGTGTGGTGGTTGTGGTGTGTTGTGTGGTGGGTTGTGGGTGTTGTGTGGGGGTTTTTGTGGTAGTATTGTGTGGTGGGTTGTGGTAGTGTTGTGGGTGGGTTGTGGTATGTTGTGTGGGGGGTTTTTGGGGTTTTGTTGTGTGGGGGGTTGGGGTAGTGTTGTGGGGTGGGTTGGGTAGTGTAGTGGGGGGGTTGGTAGTGTTGTGGGTGTATTGTGGTAGTGTTGTGTGGGGTTTTTTTTGGTAGTGTTTTTGGGGGTTTGTGGTAGTGTTGTGTGGTGGTTGTGGGTAGGTTGGGGTTGGGGTTTGGTTTGTGTGGGGGGATTGGTAGGGGTTTTGGAGGTTGTGGTAGTGTTGTTGGTGGGTTGTGGTAGTTTTGGGGTGGGGGTTGTAGTGGGGGGTTTGTGGTATTTTTGTTGTTGGGGGCTGTGGTAGTGTTGTGGTGGGTTGTGGTGTGTTTTTGGGGTGGGGTTGTGGGTAATGTGTGTGGGAGTGGAAATTTTGTTTTGGGTTGTGGTGTGTTTTGGGGGGGTTTGTGTTATGTTGTGTGGTGGGTTGTGGAGTGTTGTGTTGTGGGCGTGGTAGTGTTGTGTGGGGGTTTGTGGGTGTTGTTGGGGTGGGTTGTGGTGGGGGGGGGGGGGGGCTGGTTTTTTAAAAGCTTGGTTCAAACGGTAAAGGGCCGGGGTTCGTTTCCCCAGCCAGGTAAAAACTCGGACGTGTTTCTTTCCACCTTTTTCTATTTTTCCCCTCAGTAAAAGGGGGTACTGGGTGTTAGTCGACTGGTGTGGGGTCCCCACCTGGGACACTGACCCAAGGGCCTGGGGCACAGACCGGCCGCGGGGGGGTTGCCCCCGGAAACTTCCCCCAGGGAAACGTCGGCTCCCGTGTTTTGGGGGGGTTGTGGGGTGTTGTGTGGTGGGGTTTTGGGGATGTGTGGGGGGGGGTTGGGTAGTGTTTTGTGGTTGTTTTGGGGGATTGTGGTGTGGGTGTGGGGGGTTTGTGTGTGTTGTGGGGGTTATGGTAGTGGTGTGGAGGGGGTTTTGGTTGTTTTTGGAGGGTTGTTGGTGTGTTGGTGGGGGGCTGTGGTAGTGTTGTGTGGTGGGCGTGGGAGTGTTGTGTGGTGGGTTTGGGTTTTTGTGTGGTGGAGGTGGTTGGGGGGGGTGTGGTGTGTTTGGTGGGGTGGTAGTGGTGTGGGGGTTGGGGAGTGTTGGGTGGTGGGTTTTTTGGGTGTGTGTGGGGGAGGTTTTTGGTTTGTGTTTGTGGGGGGGTTTTGGTAGGTTGTAGGAGGATTGTTGGAGGGTTTTTGGTGTGTTGTGTGGGGGGGTGGGGAGGGTTTGGGTGGGGGTTTTGGGAGGGTTTTGTGGTGGGTTGTGGTAGTGTTTTTGGGGGGGGTTGTGGGATGTTGTGTGGGGGTTTTTGGGGGTGTTGTGTGGGGGTTGTGGTAGTGTTTTTAGGAGGATTGTATGGGGGGTTTTTGGGAGTGTTGTTTGGAGGGTGTGGTGTGTTGTGTGGTGGGTTGGGTGTGTTGTGTGTGGGGTTTTTTGGGAGTGTTGTGTGGTGGGTGTGGAGGTTTTGGGGGGTTGATGGGGTTGGGTGGTTGTGGGAGGGGTGTGTGGGGGGTGGGGGGGGAGGTTGTGGGAGGGGGGGGGAGGTTTGGGGGGGGGGTGGGGGGGGGGGGGGGTGGGGGGGGGGGGGGTTTTTGGTGGGGGGGGGGTTTGGGGGGTTTTGGGGGGGGTGGGGTGGGGTTTTTTTTGGGGGGGGGTGGGGTTGTGGGGGGTTGGGGGGTTGGGTTTTTGGGGGGGGGGGGTGCGGTGGGGGGGGGGGGTGGGGGGGGTTTGGGGGGTTGGTGGGGGGTTTGGGAGTGTTGTGTGGGGGGGGGTGTTTGGGGGGGTTGTGGTGTGTTGTGTGGGGGGCTTTGGAGTTGTGTGGGTGGGGGGTGGTAGTGTGTGGGGGGGTTGTGGTTGTGTTGTGTGGGGGTTTTTGGTAATGGGTTTGGGGGATGTGGTGTGTTTTTGTGGGGGGTTGTGGTAGGTTGTGTGGTGGGTTGTGGGAGTGTTGTGTGGTGGGTTGTGGTAGGTTGGGGTTGGGGGTTGTTGTGTGGGGTATTGTGGGATGTTGTGTGGTGGGTTGTGGTTTGTGGAAGGGGTTTTGTGTGTTGTGTGTCTTTGTGGTATGTTGTGTGGAGTTTTGGTAGTGTTGTGGGTGGGTTGTGGGGTGTTGGGGTTGGGTTTTGTTGGTGGGGTGGGGTGGTGGTTGGGGTTTGTAGGTTTTTGGTGTTT